AGTTTATTTTATTTTATTTACAGTTGTAGTACTAATATTTCCTGAGCCAGCATATAAAGGACCAGAAGATATAACTTATTTCAAAGAAGAACCATTCTTTGTAAGTATTTTTTCACACTATTACTTGTGAATTTCTTCCTGTACCCTTAACAATTGAGAGCCCAGAAGATTTTGATGGTTAAGTAAAACCTAAAGGTAACCAATCCACTGTATCCTCACAAGTAGACCATTGTACCTCATCACCTGCTCACCACTGTACTGTATCATAATCATTCATTCGCACCATACCCCTACCTAGCTCACTTTACCATTATCACTAGCCCACTGTACCCTCATCAGTAGCCTAATTCTTATTAAAAACAAACAATACCACAAACATTGTACCTTCATCACCAGCACACTGATCTTCATCTCCAGTGGTGGATCTAGGAGGAGGTGCATCATATGAAAAATCTCTAGTCATACAGATCATGTGAAACCATTTATTTGAGATATTAAAATTACTAAAAACCTGGATCTTCCAGGAGGCACATCCCTAGATGGCCCCAAAACATTGTGGAAACCCTATTCCATAACCATCAGACCATAGGCTCCACACAACCCAGACGATGGCTCCTCCACTGCAACTCATGGTCCCCAGCCAAAAGGTCCTCGATCCTCCACTGTCATCACTAGTTTAATCGTAGCCCAATTTTCCATCATCACAGTCCTGCTGTACCATGTAGCCTAATGTAGCCTCACCTGTATAGTCTGGCTCAAAATGAATCATGTTGATGTCATACGAATTTCAGGAGGAGTTGGAGAACAACCCACGCACCACATGGTTGATAGAATGCTATGCAGCTTGGTCTCCTAGTTGTCAGCGATTCGCTTCAATATTTGCAGGTCTCTCATTAAAGTAAGTAGCTGTAACTTGGGGTTGCCTATCTTCAAATTCCTAAGATTTAAGCGGTTATTATGGCCACTTTTGATCCCAGCTCTTAAAAACATGTGTATACTACCTGTGTAAAAATATTTGCATATATCATACATTTAAAATTAACTTTAAATTTATATTTCTTTTTTTTTCCAAGTTATTCTCATTCTCATTTCAAGTTTGGCAAACTAGATGTTGGAACCAATGAAAAACTTGCACAAAGGTAAGATTTTTCAAAATTGAGTGAAACAAAGAAAATGTAACTGTAAGAATAAGAGTTAAACTACTATCTACTGAATTACTGTTCTGATGCTCTTCAGACTGAGCTAAAGCGCCACCATTTGTATTTGTCGTTCCCAGTATTTTCTGTGCTCCACTTTCAATTGCAACATATTTTTATACTATATTTTTTAACTACATGGCTACATCACAGTACCACATGTCACCACTCTGTTAACGAGTAACTACTACCAGGTGTTAAGCTGAGTCCCTCACAGTTAAGTCACAGTTTCAATACCATGGTGTACCAAAACCTTATCATTTCTGATTAAATACATACTAGAAACATGAGATTTGTCCATATAGTAAATATCTCAAGTATATTATAAAATTACAAAACACAATAGAGGTAAGATATAACATTTAATTAACCGATAAAATTTGGAGACAATCAGGTAGCATTGCTTGGCAACAAAATAGTGTCACATGGTGTTTTGACATCACCAC